TTTTTGCCCAAGAAGAGATCCTAAGGTTTGCTGGTACTACCAGAAATGCTTAGAAAACCATGTATACCTGCAAAAGAACAGTCCTCTGAACTGCCATCTCCAGGGATGAGACAACACACAAGGAGATCTGACTTGCACCAGGATATTGATCATCCATCTGCACCGATTCCTCAATTGCTTTTCAATTAATAAATTGAATCACGCGCTAATCCACACTAAAGCGCCAGATTAAATTGATTTGATCTTCACAGCCTCCCCTTCAGACCAGTTCAGGAAATATGAAGAATCTGTTTTTAGGTGAACTAATATTAGACAAAAAGGAATTTACAGATAAGATTCATATTTTCGAAATAATCTACTGATAAACACCCTCTCTTGCATGATTCTTCACTAGTTCTCTCTCTTCAATGGGTTTTGCAAAAAACAGATGACAGCATTCCAAAAAATTTACTGCAAAGCTACCAGCTGCCTGAATATTGGAACATTGCTCAGGATCTAGTAAGCTTAACACACATACTTTATACAAGAGAAACAGCCTTTAATGTGCAATCTCATCTGGGGGAAAGCATTAAAGAAGAAACATTTAAATGAGATAAGTAGTCATATGAATAATATTTTTAGGAAATATATCCTTTATTTAACCCAATAAAAGGCATACATTTACCAAAGAGTCATTTTATATAATACACAATACAATAAAACGATTCATTTAGATATATAAAAAACAAACAAAAAAACCCATCACAACATAATCAGCAAGATGCCATTTTGATTACCTGACAGGAGCGAAACTGGTTGACAAGCAGTGTACATCTCTGCGGGTCTTTTCTGCCATCCAAACTGTCCAGTTCAGCTGCTACTTGATTTAGTTCCTCATCAGCGTAGTAGAACTGAGCAAGGAGCTGTGGGTCTGTTCTCTGAAATGGAAAGATAGAAAGAAGCACTTTAGTTAACTGTATATATTTATTTTCTCACAGTTAGGGTGGATCAGCAGTCTGTCAGCAAGGAAAAGAATCATTTTAAGACATTTATACATATTTTTAATTCTTCTAGTTCATATATATTTTTATACATATTTTTAATTCTTCTAGTTTGAAGAAAACTCTCTCACACACAACAAGCCTGGAGCACTATTAAACCAGCACTATCTCCAAAGCCATGCTGGCTTTCCCACTAATGTTGGCATAATTATATGGTGGAGCAAACAGCTGAATGACAATTTCTATTTATTGAAAACAAAATAATGCATTTCAGCTCCAGGCAAAATAAGCCAAAGTTGCTTTCCAAGCTAAAAACCCAAGAAAATCATGATCTGTCAAGCACTGTGATGGGTCTTGAGCAGAAGCTGGTGCACCAGCTGCTCAGATTTGCCACAGAAAGACTCATTTTGATGATCACAAGACAAGTCACAGAGAGTAAATGACGTAAATGGTCTGCATCTACCAAATATGCTACCAGGCCCGAATGCATGTAACAACCCGACAAAGCAAACAACTGGACTGGGACATTTCTGTGCCACAGATCTCCTGAAGGGCAAAAAGCAGAATTATCATGATGAATTTTCACTCACATGAAAACCAAACTACAATTCTAATGGATAGAAGGGAAGAGCAAGGCAATGCATTACCAAAACATACTGGCAATAGCCCTAGGAGGGATAATTTAAACATTCTTCAGGACCTGGAGACTCTCATGTCTACAAAAGCGTCCATTAGAATATAAAAAAAAAAAAAAAAAAAAAAAAAAGGTTCTTTGTTTATTTGTGATCTCAGGAACCTGTCCCTCTTAAAGGAAGAGAGGTTGAACACAATTTTGCAGTCAGGTAGTTTACTTCAAGGGTAAGAAAGACATGAAATAAAAGGGTGAATATGTGGCAAGAACCCTTCTATTCCATGTCAGGTCCACAAGAAAAGAGATTACAGAAAAAAACACACACACTTACAGGTGAAGAAAATCATTGGGTGCTTTGGGCATTGGGTGCAAAATAAGCGCTTTTAAAAAAAGAATAGCTAATGTAGATGTACCAGATATATCAACCAGAGCAAAACATGCAACAATACAACTGTAAAATAATAAAGGAAAATATTGAATTGTAAAAAAATAAAATAAAATAAAATAAATAGCATGACTTTGAAAGACAAAACTGGGGAAAAGGACAAAAACTCTATATAATGGTATAATGGTATAAGGTATAATGATGAAACACATGCTTACAAAAATTAACGTTTTCTACTTGCAATATACAAAACATTTTGACTATCATAAAAACATCAAGCAAGACACTTTTGCAGGGCGCACGTTCACAGGGACGTGGCAACGCTCTCACCAGAGAACTCCAGGCTTAGGCACTCCCGGAGGTGGTAAAGGAGACGCTCCCAAGGGCAGCACCAGCAACAGGGCCCCAGGAAATGCCACCGGGACGTCCTGAACGAAAGCTGAGGTACTTTTGCTTCATTAGCCTCAAAAAACCCCTCGACAAGAACTACCACAGTGTGTTGCTCAAATCCCAGTTTTAGCAAACACAAAACACACATCCTGCAGAAAAAGCCATCCAGGATTTTGATGCAGCACAACAGCATCGAAACACACAGCACAACATTGTGTTGGTACCTTTCACAGTTACCAGGGCACATTCCCTGCTCTTGGCAGGAGCAAAAAATCAATTACAGAAAATATTTTACTGTACTATGAAAGCAGAGAAAAAGATACAATCTTGTAGTTTAAGCTAAACACTATCTCACTGCTATTCACTGTATTGCTCCTCGCTCAGCAATTTAATGAACCAAGAGAATATCTTTCCTGTAAGCAGACACAGTGACTCCTGCTCTTACCTGCCTTGTTTATGCACAAACGTAAGAAGTTTAAGGCTATCTTTAATATTATTATGTGGCTATAATACTGCTGCAAAGCTTCCTGCATCTCTAGGCCAAACCATTAAATTTCTAAGTCAAATCACCAATGAAACATCTTTTAAAGGAGCTGAAACATACAGTAATTCAAGTGGTGTTTTTTTCCCCTTCCAAAGGGCAGTTGCACATTGCACAATAAAGCCTTCCCATCTTAAGACTCTTCCTTTTACTCACTTCAATGTTACCCTTTACCATGCAGCTAAGATACACTATGCAAGTGTTCAGTGTCAAGCATGGAGTCTTCAGTACCTTCACCATAGCCCGGGTATAAAAATATCCAAGGAAAAGGATAGAGCCTGCAATACATGCAACAAATCCAATGATGAAAAAAATCAGAAAGAATGATAGTAAGAGGGAGCCAATCAAATGACATTCATTAATACAGCATATTTTTTCAGTATTTCCCCCACCTAAATGATTATTTCTGATTTTTAGGTTTTTTTAATTTTTCCTTTAACACCTATTAAAACTTTCTAGACAAAAGTTGATAATCAAAGACACAGGAACTCCAGTGCTAAATTTTGGCAACACGACTTTTATTTATAAGCATCTAAACTGCAATGCAGAAGTGAAATAGGGCATCTTAATTAAGACTGGTTGAGACCAAAAGCCATAAGTATGAGATTTTCAGCTTTCAGATGTCTGATCATTCAATGTGGAGCTACAGAGTTTTAGCTGAGTTCTCTCTCCTGTGTTACATGCACATGGATTGGCAACATGGACTTTAATCGTGTCAATCACACAGGAGGGCCCTAGCAAAATGAAGCTGTGCGAAAGCCCTTTAGCACAGGGCCATTTAAATCAATATCCACATTTTTTTCAATTCAGTTTATTCTGATTGGTATCAAAAAACATAAGATGGCACCATTCTCCATGCCAACTTTCACTTGCAGTTGATGTAAAATATGGTTCAAATGATTCCTCGTGAATTACTACTTATTCTTCTTGGCACTGCATAAATTAGCAATTAGGGCCATTTAAATCAATACCCACAATTTTTTCAGTTCAGTTTATTCTGACTGGTATCAAAAAACATAAAATGGACCATTCTCCATGCCAACTTTTGCTTACAGTTGATGTAAATTATGGTTCAAATGATTCCTTGTGAATTACTTCTTAGTCTTCTTGGCACTGCATAAATTAGCAATTCTCATGCTCATCTGCTTAAATTAATAACGCAGAAGGCCTAATTTGAAAGTCCCGGACAGAAAGCCTACCACTCATCCTGGTAGCATGTTTTTTTCAGGAAACATCACATTCACCATCAAATTCACACACCTTTGACTTCCCGTTCCATGACGCCACCCAGTTTTTCTGCCACATCTACTTTCACCCCGTGGCCGTTGCTGTGCCGGGCAGGCCGTGGGCCTGTGCGCGTCCCCGCGGGCCGGAGCGCCGGGCAAGGCCAATCTGCACACGTGGAACGTCCAAACGGCCCCAGACCTCAATGCTCCACGTTGTTCTGTGCAGCTCTAGTGCCAGCCCGGGATTAACCACACTAGCAGGCCACATCACCACAGATTTTAAATAATCACTTATAGATTGATCATTGTTTATTACATTGATCTGTATGAGACACAGACTACCAGTGCAACCAGTGCAAAGATGGGAGCCAGTAACGTACATTTTTTAACATTTTGCCACATCATGCTTATTTAATTTCATATAGAACACCAATTATAAGGGACCATCTGGCTAATATTACATCATCGGGTAATACTGCAACATTCCAGTTTTCTTTTTCTGACAAATCACCCATTGATTTTTTTTTAAACTTTTTTTTCTTTTCACTTTTTATCAAGTATCACTCTTCATTTCATGCTCTCACTAGGTCAGAGATTTAAGCTTAGTATACCATTGATATACATCAGGTTTAGCATGTCCAGCCTACAAGAGGAAGTAACTGCAGAGCTATTGAACACTTGGCTTTTGCCTGTGAAGTCCTGCCAGTGACTATTCACTAGGATTAGATGAGTTCAATTTGTTGCACAATAAATTGTGACTTGACTTCTAATCAGTATTATATGGACAAGAGACTGTTAAAAGGAAAACAATTTGAGAGAGATTCACTATAGATTCACTAATTTTTATGTTAGACCGTTAAAATTTATTAGATAAGTAACAAACCTACTTAACATATGCTACCAGATGAAAAGACACCATCGTCACATCTTGTAAGCAAACTGGTCTTTGTCAAAAACTGAAAATGTAGCCAGAAGTGTGACGAGATGCACTTAGGGAAAGGATTCTAGCATGGACATACAAAAGCAAACAGCTAGAAAGAAAACTGATAGTACAATCAGGATGCTAAGAGGTGAACCCTCAAGCTGTTCAGTAATTTCAGCTTTCACTTTAAAGAATGTAATGAAGCCTTTAAAAATACTAAAAATACTGTATTTAATTAATTTTGCTGTTTTTTCTGGTGAGGCTTCTGTCTAAAATGAGAAAGGACTCCGAAATGAGCAGGACCATTGGTAATTGGGCAGGAATATTTGTAATAATATAAACACTGGGGAAAGGCTACAGACTGGTTAAAGCTCTACCAACTGCTCAGTGTTTTTCTGTGGAATATCATTACACAAGCTAGAAGGGCAGGTGAACAGGTTACCTCAGGGAAAAAAAAATGCCAGTAGCAGCTTTAGCAAAAAAACAGTGAATGATTCATTAGCAGACTACAGAAACCAAGTCCATGAATCTTTCCAGCATGAGTACTACTTAAGGACACTAACATATTTTGCTTACCCTAAAGCACACTGTAAGGGTAATAAAAAAAAAAGAAAAAGAAAAAGAAAACCCCTGATACCAGTCACGCTTAACTGGAAAAGCAAATGTTTAGGAATATGTCAATTTTTCACTCATGGTGAATTAAGTCATTCTACAGAGTTTCTATTTTTGAATGCTTATAACATCAACCCAGAAAGGCATGCACTCAAACCCACATTTTCTGAGGGAAGAACACAAGCACATGCTTAACACATGACTGAAGCCTGAGGCTGTTTACTTG